TTTGACATTAACACCACCCACCAGTGTCTCCTTCACATCGCCGCACGTTTTCTCATACTCGTATTCGTGTTGTGTTCACTTCTATACAGCTTTGTCACATGTGTGACATCGCCACAGTTGAGATGAAGAACTGTCAGTTACCAAAAGAACCCCCATGGTGCCCTATCCCCACCCCTACCCCAATCCCCAAAACCGTTAAGCCCTAGTACCTGCTAATCTGCCCTCAATTTCTAAGATGTCTCATTTTTTTTAATTAAAAAAAATTTTTTTAACGTTTATTCATTTTCGAGAGACAGACTGTAAGGGCGGAGGGGCAGAGAGGGAGACAGAATCTGAAGCAGGCTCCAGGCTCTGAGCTGTCAGCACAGAGCCCGATGCAGGGCTCGAACCCACAAACCGTGAGACCATGACCTGAGCTGAAGTCGGATGCTTAACTGACTGAGCCACCCAGGCGCCCCTTTTTTTTAATTTCTTAATGTTTATTTATTTTTGAGAGAGACAGGCAGACAGAGTATGGGTGGGGGAGGGCAGAGAGAGAGGGAGACACAGAATCCAAAGCAGGCTTCAGGATCTGAGCTGTCAGCCCAGTGCCTGACATAGGGCTCGAACCTGTGAACTTCAAGATTGTGACCTGAGCCGAAGTCGGACGCTCAACAGACTGAGTCACCCAGGTGCCCCTGAACTGGCTTTTTCTACTCAGAATTCGCTGAAGATTTGTCCACAGTGTATGTATTAGTAGTTGGTTCTGGGAAAATTAATAAAAGGAAACTTCATTCAGAATAGAGTCTGATGGACAGCAGGGGGCGCTCTCACACTCTAGCACTTGTTACCAATTCCAGACCCAACAGGAACAGTGGCACCTTGCATGGGGTACTACTTTAGCTACTACCTTTACTGTCTCAGTGGGAGGAAGGAACACCCCCGCCCCCGCCATCCCCCCAACAGCCCAGCCAATGAGAAGCAGGTATAGCCCAGCCAATGCGTGAAAGTCTCAGCTCAGCCAATGAGAAGCCACTATATTTTGAGTTCCCAGTTTATTCTAATGAACTTCTTGTTATCACAGCCTTCCCAGATTCGCTTGCCTCTGTGAGAGTGGTCCTCTCCTTCGTTTTACAGATTCACCTCTGGTCCTTCATGAAGCTTGGTTATCACAGAATACATTTCTCTGCTATTCCTAAATAAACCCATTTTGCTACTCAAAAAACAAACAAAAAAAATTGGCAGTTTTATGTTTAAAGGCAACAGTTGTTTTTTACCGAGCATTGTGCCCTGATGCGGACTATCCTCTTTAACCAATCGCACCCTGAAAGACAGCCAGGCTGTTTCCAGTGTAGGCTATGAAGAATAAAGCTGCTGTGAAATTTCACGTACAGGTATTTTGTGTGTGTGTGCGTGAAGATACATTTTCATTTCCCTGGGATAAATACCAAGAGCGCAATTGCTAGGTTGTATGGTAATTACACATTTAGTTGTACAACAAACTGCCAAATTGTTTCCTGCGGTAGCTGTAATATTTTGCACTTTGCCAGCAATGGATGTGAAATCTACTTTCTCCACATCCTCACCAGTATTTGCTGTTGTAATTATTTTTTACCTTAGCCATTCTGATCATTGTGCATTGATCTCTCATGGTTTTTACTTTGCACTCTCCTGGTGGCTAATAGTGTTGAGCACCTTTTGATGTGCTTATGACATCTCTATACCCTCTTTGGGGAAGTATTCGTTCGTGTCTTTCCCTCATTTTTTAATGGATTGTTTGGAGGGTTTGTTGTTTGGTTATTCTTGTCGAGATTTCAGTGCTCTTTGTATATTCTAGATGCAAGTTCTCTGTTGGATAGATCATCTGCAAACATTGCGAATATCCTCTCCCAGTCTGTAGCTTGTTTTTTGTTTTTGTTTTTATTTTGTTTCATATTTTGTCCTCTTCATGAGCTTTCACAGCGAAGAATTCTTTTTAATTCTGATGAGATCAGTTTATCAGTTTTCTCTTTTCACTCTTTTGCTGTCAAGTCTAAAAGTGATTTGCCTTGCCCTAGATCCTGAGGACTTTTCCTGTGTTTTTCTTTAAAGTTTTATTGTTTTATGTTCTACATCTTAGTTCGTGATCTACTTTTATTTGTTTTTAATTTTTTAAGATGTTTATTTTCAAGAGAGAGAGACAGAGAGTGAGAGCACAAGTGGGGGAGGGGGAGAGAGAGAGACAGAGAAAGAGTCACAGAATCCCAAGCAGGCTCCAGGCTCTGAGCTGTCAGCACAGAGCCTGACTCAGGGCTCGAACTCATGGACTGAGAGATCATTACCTGAGCCAAAGTCAGATGCTTAACCGACTGAGCCACCCAGGCACCCCTCGTGATCCATTTTTAAACATCATGATTTGGTGACACTGGCTTTTGGGTTTTTGTGGGTTTTGTCTATGGATGGACGGTGGCTCCAGAACCTGTTGTCGAAAAGACTGTCCTATGACACTGAATTTCCTTTGTTCTTTTGACAGAGGTTAGTGCAGCATATTTGTGTGTGGGCCTACTTCTGGATTTTCTCTTCTCTTCTAATCAATCATCTGTGTGTCTCTCCCTTTCTGTCAATGCTGCAGTATTTTGATTACTGTAACTACATAGTAGATGTTAATATTGGGTAGAGTGATTTTCCTGCTTGATTCTTCTTTTTCAAGACTGTTTCAGCCATGGGACGCCTGGGAGGCTCAGTCGGTTGAGCATCCAGTTTTGGCTCAGGTCATGATCTCGTGGTTCATGGGTTTGAGCCCCTCATCAGGCTCTGTGCTGTCATCGCAGAGCCTGGAGCCTGCTTTGGATACTCTGTCCCCCCTCTCTCTCTGCCCCCCCTCAAAAATAAACATTTTTTTAAGAGGTTGTTTCAGCCATTCTAAGGCCTCTGCATTTCCATATAGCTTTTAGAATAAGCTTGTCTATATCTGCAAAAATACACCCTGGGAGTTGGATAGGGATTGTCCTAAACCTATAGGCCAGCTGGGTCCTGGCAAAGCCAGGACTCAGCTCCTCCTGAGTCCCTTCAGCTCCTAGTTTGCGGATGGTTTTATCATGAAAGAGTATGGTATTTTCTTTTCAGATGACTTTTCTGGGTGAATTATGATGATCATAATAATGATGATCATGTTTTTTTCCCCTTCATTCTATTAAGGTACTTTATTACATTGATTGATTTTCGTATGTTGCATCAACTTTGCATTCCTGGAGTCAGTCCCACTTGGTCATGTCATAGAATTCTTTCAATATGCTGGCAGATTTGCTTTGAAACTTATTTTGTGGGCTTTTTTTTTTTTTTTTGAGGATTTTTCAGTAATTTGTTCAGTACTTTCTTGTGATGTCTTTATCGGCCTTTAGTATCAGGATATTCCTGGCCTCATAGGATGAGTTAGGGAGTGTTTTCTCTTCCATTTTTGACAGAAATTGAGAAGGATTGGTTTTAATTCTCTAAATGACTTTTAGCATTTATAAGTAAAGACATCCTGCTTTGGGCTTTTCTTTGATTGGACAGTTTTGGTTTTTGGGGTTTGTTGTTGTTTCATTTTGTTTTTTACTGATTCAGTCTCTTGTTATAGATCTGTCCAGATTCTCATTTCTTCTTGAGTCAGTTTGGTAATATGCACACTCCATCCTGATTATCTCATTCTGTCGGAGCACAGAATTGTCTTAGTATTCTCTTATAGTCCTTTTATTTCTGTAGTGTTAACGATGTCTCACTTTTATTTTTCATTTTAGTGATGAGCGTCTTCTCTTTGTCTTAGCCAGTCTACTAAAGGGCTGGCAACTTTTCAAAGAATGAGCTTCAGTTTTGTTGATTCTATTGTTTTGTTGTTCTCTGGTTCGTTTATATCTGCCCTAATCTCTTTTGTTTCATTCCCTCTGCCAGCTTTGGGTTTAGTTTGCTCATCTCCTCATTCCCTGAGATAGTAAAGTCAGGTTGTTGATTTGAGATCTTTCTTTTCTTTTCTCTCTCTGTCTCTTTGATTTGAGATCTTTATTACTATTTAATGCAGGCATTGCAGCTATAAATATCCCTCTGAGCCCTGCCTTCACGGCATCCCATACGTTTTTGTATGTTGTGGTTTTATTTCATTCATTTCCAAGTATTTTCTAATTTCCCTGTGATGTCCTCTTTGACCTGTCAGTCACTTCCCAATGTGTTAATTTCTGCATAATTGTGAAATACCCAGTTTTCCTTCTGTTATTGATTTTCATTATTCCTTTCTATTATTGATTCCAATGTGGTTACAGAACATAATTTGCATGACCTCCCACACAGTTGAAAATCTACATATAAGTTTCTCCCAAAAGGCTTAACTACTAACAGCCTACTGTTAACCAAAAGTCTGACCCATAACATCAACAGTTGACGAACACGTTTTGTACGTTCTATGGATCACATATTGTGTTCTTACAGGACAGTAAGCTAGAGAAGAGAAAACTAAATGAAGAAAATCATAAGGAAGAGAGAACACATCTGTAATGCTGTCCTGTAGAATGTCCACCTGTCAGTGGACCCGCACAGTTCAAGTCCAGGTTGTTTCAGGGTTGACTGTCCCATTTTTACTTGATATGACCAGCCATCCACACTGTCTCATGCTCACACATTTCCCTATGGAAATGTTTCCTCAGTTTGCTCACACAGCACAGATGCCCAACTAAGTATCTCGTTTGAAGAACTACAGTTCTAGGGGCATCTGGGAGGCTCAGTCAGTTGAGCATCTGACTCTTGATTTCCGCTCAGGTCATGATCTCACGGTTCGTGAGTTCGAGCCCCGCATCGGGCTCTGTGCTGACAGAGCAGAGCCTGCTTGGGATTTTCTCTCTGCCCCTCCCCTGCTCACACTTTCTCTCTCCCTCTTTCTCTCTCAAAATAACTAAATAAAACTTTATAAAACCACATTGCAATGCTAATTACTTACATGTAGCAGTCGCAAAATTTATAAAATAATAAAACTCAGTCTGATTAGTTAAAAAACCATTGTTAAAACTACTAAATTAAATATTAAAATGAGACATAGTTTTACTTAAATGATACAAAATAATAAATGTGTAATATGAATTTCAGCCTATGCAAAAAAGCTTAGCAAACATTTTAAACTGGCATATGATATGATGCTTTCACATCAGGTGTTTACAACTTTAAGGCATAATGATAGTAATTTTTTCTTAGTGTAAACTATGTCACAATATTCTCAAGTTTTTTTGAAACAGAGAATATCATCTCTATAGGTATTACAGGACCAAATAATGGAAAAGACTGTGAGTTTCTTCTAGTTAAGGGTCTAAATAGGTTGACTTCAATAGAAATGTCACCAATGGAGACTCACACAGGAGCAGGTGAGGTCAGATGATGATGGGTTGGGGGTGGGGGGGGAAGGGGTTGGTTCCAAGACACTGGGACACCCCAGGCCAGTGAGACGCAGCGTCCCCAAGCCCCGTGATTCACATCCCAGAGAAATACAGGAAGCGACACCCAACATTGGTACCATCTATGCAACAGTGACGCCCAATCGGCTAGAAGGTAACTTAGTTCATAAGAATCTATGCTCGTCAAACATAGCAGGAGCCTCAGAAGTATAGTTGTGATGCAGTCACATCTTTTTCAGCCATCAGAAAATGATCGCAGGGGCTTATTTGAGCTCTCCTGGTATGGATGCCGATGGAGATGTGGTCGCCCCTGCAATGCAAAAAGGGAAGAGATGAGTTGACGGGAAAAGAGCAATAAAGACCACATTTTTTGTAAATTAAGAAGTTTTTTAAGGAAAAATTTTTAAAATTTTTTTGAGAGAATTTTTTTTTAAGTTTATTTATTTTGGGGTGGGGGCAGGGGCAGAGAGAGAGGGAGACACAGAATCCGAAGCCGGGTCCGGGCTCCGAGCTGTCGGCACAGAGCCTGACGTGGGACTCGAACTCATGAACCGCGAGATCATGACCTGAACCAAAGTCGGACGCTTCGCCAACTGAGCCACCTGGCGCCCCTGTATATTAAGAAATTTAACCTATTAATTTTAACTAAACGAAAGCACATGTTGCGGCTCCTGGGTGGCTCAGTCGGTTAAGTGTCCAATTCTTGGTGTGGGCTCTGGTCATGATCTCCTGGTTCATGGGATCAAGCCTCATGTCAGGCTCTGTACTGACAGTGTAGAGCCTGCTTGGGATTCTCTCTCCCTCTCTCTCTCTGTCCCTCCCCCACTTGCTCTCTATCTCTCTCAAAATAAATAAAAACAAACTTAAAAAAATAAAGAAAGCACATGTTTCTGTACCTACTTTTGAAAACTACTCCTGACGTCTACATAAAAATGTAACGCATGGTCCCACCCACAAGCCAAGCACAAATCATATGGGAAACCTCCGTCTGCAGCCCGTGCACCACTGGACAAGGGCAGAGGCCCCGTCCATCTTCTGGTCTGTGTCCCCGTGTGCTGAAAAGGCCCCGCGAACACTGACAGAAATGTGCTGAGCTGAACTCGAAGGGAAGGAGTGGGCAGGACGAAGGGTCCCTGTGCTTCCCCAGCCCCAGAGGACACGGCCTGGCTCCTTCCTTTGCACCAAGTGCCTTCAGCAATGCTGGCTCTTTCAAACTAGAAATTTGGGCCAGCAGCGACGGGCCAGCTTTCCAGCACACCAAAGACACACCTAGAACGGCTGCAAAAATTGCAGTAAGGGGAAAAAAAAAAAAAGCATCAGTAAGAAGCCTGGCTGAGATCCAGAAAGAGCCAGGCTCTCAGGGGAGGGCTTTCCAGTCAGAGGGAAAAGGCAAGTTCTGGGTTGGCTGTTGCGGTTGATCAAGTTAAAAGCCAAGACCGACAGGAGAAGAAACAGGAACCAGAAGAGAAGGGCCCGGGGCACGGGAGATTCTGGTGAGGATCGGAGCCTCAGTGACCCAGGGGCAGGGAGGCAGGGGCACCCAGTCACAGGTGACAAGGGCTATATGGCTTCCCCCCCCTTCCCGTCCCCCCCGCCCCGATGGGGACGGGGGCCCGGCCGCCGGCAGGGAAGGGGTTGGTTTCCCCTTTCTCTACTTTAAGCACAAGGATGATGTAGCACGTGCCATGATTTGTTTCCTGATAGAAAAGTTTATAAACTCGTGCTAATATCAGGCGAGAATTCCTTGACTGGATCATCTATTTCACTGGCAGTAAAGTTAAGTTCCACCTACTGAAGGCAGTGCAGAAAGACCATGACAATCATCCTGCTATATCGCTGGGGGGGGGGGGGGGCGGGGGGGCCCCGGGGCCCCACCCCCCGGGGGGGGTCCCCCCCCCCCCCCCCCCCCCCCGTCTTGGAGAATGCGCATAAGACAGCAAAAGAATCTTGACGAACTTGCTCCTTCTCTTTGTGCCCCCAAACTGTGTTCCCAGGACGCTGATTTTTAAGTGTCTCTGGCGCCCCCTTGCGGTTAGAACACATGCAGTTCGGAGAAAGCCGGCCTGGCTGCCCAGAAGCTTCAGCTTCAGAGCTAACTACCTCCATCCATCGATATTTTTGCGTGGGGGACACTTTTCATATTTGGGCGCACTCGGTTTCTCTAGAAGTACTCACTTGGAGAAGGAGAATCTGTAACAAAGAACAAGTACAGGAGGTCAATTTAGTCAAAGAGAGTTGGTACTAAATGAATTAGCACTTTGGGGGGCACCTGGGTGGCTCAGTGGGTTAAGCGTCTGACTCTTGATTTCGGCTCAGGTCGTGATCTCACAGTTTGTGATTTCAAGTCCCGCATCCAGCTCTGTGGTGACAGTATGGAGCCTGCTTGGGATTCTCTCTCTCTCTCTCTCTCTCTCTCTCTGCACCTCCCCCCACTCGCACTCTTTCTCCCTCTCAAAAATAAATTTTAAAAGCATTAGTACTTTAAATTTTTTTAATGTTTATTTTTGAGAGAGAGACAGAGCATGGGCAGAGAGAGAGGGAGACACAAAATGCGAAGCAGGCTCTAGGCTCTGAGATGTTGGCACAGAGCCCACGTGGGGCTTGAACTCACGAACTGTGAGATCATGACCTGAGCTGAAATCAGATGCTTAACTAACTGAGCCACCCAGGTGCCCCAAGAATTAATACTTTAAATAATCACTTAAAAGACTTCGTAAAAGGCTGTATCACTGAAAACACTGAGCCACAGAACACAACCAGCATGGAAAAGTTCGAAAGTGCACTTTTTATTGGCATCAAATGTGAACTTGTCACACATCCATTTTACGACGGAGAAAAGACACATCATCAACAGAAGTGGCCGGGCCCCCGTAGTGGGGGCACAAAGCAGGTGCACGGACAGCATCCCCTCACATGGGGTCTGTCGGGAGTGGCTACCCTCAGAGTAAGGGACTGGCTGGCAAAGGCAGGCAGAGACCTTGCTGACAAACATACACATAAAGTACTTCAGATGCTTGTAGAGACATAACACATCTCCTTCCTTCTTAACCAAAGAAATGAAGCCTCAAGAGAAAAAAACAAGCTGCCTACAGGCAAATGGCCAATAATCACCGAGCCACAGAAAGTAAACAATACTCGATGGGCTTTACGATGGATGTAGCCAAAACTAAGACTAATTCCACCCGTCTCTATCACTGGTAAAAATCAAAACTAATACAGTATTTGGAACATCTAATTACGGGGACACTTCCAAACTATTCAGAATTTAATAACAAAGTTTAAGAAATGTGGATAATGGGGGGAGGGGTTTACACCTGGGTGGATCAGTCGGTTAAGCGTCCGACTTCGGCTCAGGTCATGATCTCACAGTCTGTGAGTTGAAGCCCCACGTCGGGCTCTGTGCTGACAGCTTAGAGCCTGGAGCCTGCTTTGGATTCTGTGTCTCCCCCTCTCTTTGCCCCTTCCCCACGTATACTCTGTCTCTCTTTCTCGCTCAAAAATAAACACTAAAAAAAATTTTTTTTAAATAAAAAGTTAAAAAAAAAAAAAAAGAAATGTGGATAACAGAATAATTTCAAGTTTGAACCATGAGTTCTGTGTACAGACCTAAGGGCTTCTTATGAACCTGCCCCAAAGGGGACCGGCTGCCTACACGGAAGTTCACGCATCATAGGGGCTAGGATCTTAGATCCAAGGACACTAAATGTGATATCGTTTGGTATCTTATTTGTCTGTGTGTATGTGACATATCGAAAGATTTGAAATTAAAAGAAAACGTAAAGGGACACCTGGATGGCTCAGTGGGTTAAGTCTCTGACTCTTGATTTCGGCTCAGGTCATGATCTCTCAGGTTTGTGGGTTTGAGCCCCGCGTCGGGCTCTACGCTGACAACACACAGGGAGCCCTGCCTGGGATTTTCTCTCTCCGTCTCTCTCTGCCCCTCCCTTGCTCTCTCTCTCTGTCTCTCTCAAAGCCACAGTGATCATGACTCATGCGATTCGCGTGAATAAAGAGGAGAAAAGCAAAACCTGTACAATCCTCCTGAGTATGTGTGACCTCCACGCTTCTGTAGGATTTTACGTGGTGTTTAGATTACTCAGCTCGAGATCCAAAATGAGAAAGAAAAAGCCCGAGGGGCCGTCCCAAGGAACAGAAACCACAGCAGACAGGGACTGTGGGGTGCACTTCACCTTGAGCGTCCTCAGAGCCCTCGGGCAGCTCCGGGTCTGGGTTCGGGCCTGCACCCTGGAGCCCTCCGGGGTCTTGCGCAGATGTGGACGGCGGGGCTGCTCCCGGTGTCCGCAGGGCCCTCCCGTCCGAGTCAGCTCGTTGCTGCAACCACTCATCTTTGTACCCATTGCTGATAAGTTTGGAAAAGTTGGTGGGTGAACTGGTTTTTTGCCCGGGCCTCAAAAAGAGAGAAATTAATGCCAAACTTCAGTACAAAGGTTAATGACAATCCAGAACAGTCCGCAGTGAGCATACTGCTAATAACTTGGATATGTTATGGCCCCTTAAAACCCAACGGGGATAATTCTCTGTCCCTCTCTCTGTCTCTGTCTCTCTCTCCCTCCCTCTCTCTCTCTCTCTCCTTTCTCAATGTCTCTCTCCCTGTGTTCAGCATAAGAAAATACACTTGGTGGGCACTTGGGTGGCTCAGTCAGTTAACCACCCAACTTCAGCTGAGGTCACGATCTCACGGTCCGTGGGCTCGAGCCCCGTGTCAGGCTCTGCGCTGACGGCTCGGAGCCTGGAGCCTGCTTCGGATTCTGCGTCTCCCTCTCTCTCTGCCCCTCCCCCACTAGTACTCTGTCTCCCTCGCTCTCAAAAATGAACAGATGTTAAAAAGAATTCTTTTTAAAGCAAACGCACTTGCTATCATCTCCGTATGTGCCGAGAGCCTGCAGAATCCACCTTCCACCACATGTCTTCGGGACATCCAAGTAGAAAACTAATGATGCTGCTTTTTTCGCAGGGACGAAACCTTCACACCCCCCTCCCCTGGTCGTGACGGGTTGCCCGGACTCTACCATTTCTTTCACGAATGATTGCTTTCTTAATGAGGTCTTCCTTGACGTTAATGATCATCTGCCGGTCGAGCCCCTGGCTGGTTGACACAGTGGAGCCTATGGCTCCTGGCCTCAGGGTCGAGAGTTCGAGCCCCACGTTGGGTGTAGAGATTGCTTAAATAAATAAACTCCAAAAACAAAAGATGATCTACCACTCTCTGCACAGCTTTGCCTTCTATCTGCCATTAAGTCAGCGACTGCACGTTCGCGGGTCTCACCTACGCTGAAGAGTGATGGGGCCTCGGACGTGGATGGAGTCGGACAGGTGACACAGGTCACCTGCTCTCTCTGAGCCTCGAGCTCCTAACCTGCAAATCGCTCTGTGGTGAAGGGTATTCCCAGTGTCCCCCACCCTCTAAGTGTATATTTTCTCCACCCCCAGTGTCAGCGTGGGGCTCTCAGGTCTGTCCTGCTGTTTATCTCCCACGGGACCGGAGGCTGCAGGAGGAACCAGTCGGATAACTGTGACGTGACTTCTGGCACTAACTGGGGTTCTGCCAGCCGTGCACAGTCAGAGCACCCACCGCCAGCTGCGGACACGGGGTCCAGGCCTTGGTGACAGATAAAGTCAGGATGGGACAACACACTCACGTAAGGCTGATGGCCCCGAATTTAAAAGGCGAGCCTTGCTGAGGACAGGGTCCCCAGGGGCGTCTCGGGCAGGACACAGGCTCACGGAGACAGAACCACTGGTTGGAGAAGTTCGGCACCCACACGGCGAAGACGTGGATGGGGACGGCTGTGCTCCACGGGGCCACGACGGATGTCAGGGGGGAAGGACCAGCGAAGGAGGAGCCCAGTGGGCAAGGCCGGGCTACGGGGCGTGACATCAACGTCGTGTCTCCGACACGTGTTGCCAGGAAGCCAGCATCATTAGGCCGCCACCAGCCCAGCACCTCGTTGCCATCATTGTCACTTTGTCCCCCAGACAGAGCACCGAAGAGACCAAACCTGAACCTGACCCAGACAGCACTCACTCTGTCCGGGCACTTACATGGGAGGGAAGGACAGTCTGCTTCCTGCAGGCTCTTTGGGGCCAAGCGGGGTCCCCACTTTGCTCGGGTACTTGGAGTTGATGGCAGGTAGCCGCACCTGTTGAGGGAAAACAGGAGAAGGAGACTCACAGACGGTGGAGAAGGACCGCCTGTGAGCGTGGTCATTACGTCACCGGCCACACAACTTGACAAAAGCCCCATAAAACGGTTATGTCATGGAGACTCTCCGTGATTCGGCAGCAGTTGCCGGGCCTGGCTGCAAAGGGCCTTGGGAGTGTGGGGGCCACGGACCGGCTCTGCGCCCTGATGGTGGTGGAGGTAATACAATGGGTGCATTTGTCAAAACTCCTGGAACGGTGCTCGGTAAAAAGGTGTAGATTAGATTGTAACGAAATAGGGGAAAATGCTACGGGAAAACAGAAAAAAATGAACAGGGAAACAAAGACGCCCACAAACCCAGGGATGTATTGCAAACATTCACAGGAAGACAAGGGGGGGCCTTTGGGAAAGACGAGACACGATCCTGCAGGTGTGTGAGACCCCATAATGCTGGCCGTCCACGGGTGACATTTTGGCCGAAATATTGTCTCCTGTCTGCCACATGTCAACTCTGCATCCCAGATCCACGCCCGGAGGCCCAGAGAGGAAGAGCGGGGGAACAGCCAGGCCCTCACCAGAGGCTGGGGTTGGACACTCGTCAAATCCAGCACAACCTACAAGGTTCACTTGGTGGCTCGCGCCCATCCACGTTCAAGGTCTTACTCTAGCTGTGCCAAAGGCCTGCGGGCTGTGGGCGGTTCCGGCGAGCTGTGCATGGAAGCAAGGTGAAGATACAGGGCTGCTGTCCGGGTCGTCCCTGACGGGCGCCCGTCCCCCTGGTTGTCACCCACACCTCGCACACAGCTTCCGTCAATGGCTCCCGAGATGACCCCGCCTGATGGGGGGCTGTGCGGCCTTTAGCATTTCAAAGGTCCCCTAGACGTGTGCTGTGGCACCCAGGGATCCTGAAAACAGTCCACATCGGGGCGCCTGGGGGGCTCAGTCGGTTAAGCGTCCCACTCTTGATTTCAGCTCGGGTCTTGATTTCACCGTTTGTGAGTTCCAGCCCCGCATCGGGCTCTGTGCTGACAGTGCGGAGGCTGCTTGGGATTCTCTCCCTCTCTCTCTGCCCACCGCCTCCCCCCCCCCCGACCAAAATAAATAAATAAATAATTTTTAAAAAAATCCGGGGACACCAGGGTGGCTCAGTCAGTTAAACGTCCTACTTCGGTTCAGGTCAGGATCTCACAGTTCGTGGGTTCTGGCCCTGCATCGGGCTCTGTGCTGACAGCCTGCTTCGGATTCCGTGTCTCCCTCTCTCTCTGCCCCTCCCCACTCTCAAAATAATAAACATTTAACACACAGAACCATGAACGAGACACACAGCCATCGGCTACATGGCTTATTCAGGGAGCCGCAAGCAGGGGGACGCTGCTGTCAGACGCCCATCACCTTTTTTTTCTCCTCACGTTCCTCCGCCTCCCTCTGCCAGACGGTTTTCACGTCAAAGTCGAAAGGCCCTCTTCTGGACTCATAGTTACCGTTGTTCTGATCGGGGTTAAACTCTTCATACACCATGTAATCCGGCATGGAGATGGCAGGGATCCTGCAGAAACAGGTGGGAGCACCCAGCCTGGTGCCACTTCCTTGCCTCCCTCCTTCCTTCCTCCCCTCCCCCCTCCTCTTCCTGTCCATCTCCCTCCCTCCCCCTCCCTCCCCTCTCCTTCAGGCAGGCTTGGGGGACTCTGTGATCACTTATGCCACACCCCTGCCCAACTGTGGACTGCCTCACCACCTGGCGGGCTTAGTTGGTTAAGCGTCAGACTTTGGCTCAGGTCATGATCTCATGGTTCATGGGTTTGAGCCCCACATCGGGCTCTGTGCTGACAGCTCTGAGCCTGGAGTCTGCTTGGGATTCTCTCTTTCTCTCCCCCCACCCCTGCTCAATCTCTCTTTCTCTCAAAATAAATACACAAACCTTAAAAATAAATAAATGAATGAACGAAATGCACAGTGAGCTACCCTCTCGCTACAGAGATGGCCCAGGAGGCCTTGGGATACTCACTGCCTCTGCTCGGCCGTGGGCGGCTTGCTGTGGTGAATGTACCAGTCCGGCAGGGAGTATGCAACCGGGGAGGCTTTCCTGGTCCCGGCCGCCACCAGGTGCTTCAGCAGATCTCAGAGCCAAAAAGACGCAGCTGTGAGCACACAGGTCACCATTGACAGTGGTGTGTGTGTGGGGGGGGGGGGGGGTGCCCTGTGACTTCCAGGGTCACCTCTGGGCTCTCAGGTGGGCAGGACTGTGCCTGGTCCCGCCTGCCCATGCACGTACCCAGATGTGCGCCCCTCCCCCCAAATCCTGCCCAGCTACTGAGCTGGCACCCGTGTGTGCCGACACCCACCATCCCAGGGGACATCCGTGGGGACACAGGGACTGCGGGCTGGCTGCCCCCCTCACCTACCCTGCACAGTCCGACTGCTCTCCGTGGCTGTGCAGCTGTCCTTGAAGGCTTCCCAGGGAACGTGGGTGAGGGGAGCTGGTGATCAGGGCCTCCCCTTGGAGTCCCGGGACAGGGACAGAGCCTGAGACCCACCCTGCTGCCGAACCCCCTGCCTTGCTGGGGGCCCAAAGGGGTCAACAGGAAGGCGGGGACGGCGGGGTTGGGGGGGTCTGGCCCTGCTTGCTCCTGAGCCGGCTGTCACTGATTGCTTAGGATCCGTAGGGAATGTTTAGCACTCTATGTCGCTTTTGGTTTTCAGATATTTCAGATTAGGGGAAAGTGGCAGGAACAGCATGGATTCCTCTTGGCCTCCTCCAGATGCTCGTGTCTCATTTCACCTTTGCTGCCTCCCTCTCTCCCTCCCTCCTCCTCCCCCCGCCCCCATTGGTATTGTCACTGTCCCTGCTGTCTGGGGGCAGTGAGGGACCCCCTCGCAGACCTGAGGGCAGCAGGCTCTAGAGGACAGTTGTCACATGATCCCAGCCGACAATCCGCACCAGGAAGTCAGTGCACACGCGACTGTCTTGTCTAACCTTGCAGACCCATCCAGATTGTGCTGGCGATCCTACTGACTTTCCCTAAACCAGTGGCAGGGGAGCAGGGAGGGGGGTGGAAGGACATCACAGTCCTGTCCCGGCCTTGCATGGAGTGAGTGGAATGGGTTGTTCTGGGCTTTTCTAAAGCCTTTCGGGGCTGACCCCTGCCCCTGCTCAACAGTCTCTGAGCATGACCAGGCAGTATTTCTCGGACAAATCACAGGTCGAGGCGGACGTTCCCCACCATCGCTGCAGACACCCGTGCAGGGTCTTTGTTATTGAAAACACATTAGAACCCGGGACGAGGGCAATGAGGAGAAGCCGTGGGAATGGGCCCCGGGAATGGGCCACAGGTATGGGCCACGGGAATGGGCCATGAGAACGAGCCACGGGAATGGGCCCCAGGAATGGGCCACGGGAATGGGCCGTGGGAATGGGCACCGGGCACGCTGGAGAGCCAGCTGTCCCCACAAGGCCATCGAAGTCACAGGGACACACCTTCTGCGAGTGACAATGACATGGGGCGGGTAACCCCTGCAAAGGTGCCTCTCACAAGCCAGTTCTGCACATTGAGTCTCGTCAGTGCTGTTGTCAACAGTGGGCACATCCTGCAGGTTACACACGCCCCGCGCTGCGTCCGCCACCCCTGGCGTCCCAAGGCTTTGGGCAGAACTTCTAGGTTCTTCAGCAACATATTTACATGGAGGAAAGGGTGACCAGCGTGACATAATCCCCTTGTTTACGCAGCAGGGACCCTGGGGCGCGTGTGGGGTTCTTACCGGGCCGGCCACCTCGCTTCGCGAGCTTCACATACTCCGAGTCGGTTTCCTTGATCCAGTACCTGCGCGGCCCCGGCAGGTGCCCGTTGGGAGGCTCACTCAAGTCACTGAGGCCGGGGATCTGGGAAACCGGGGGGGCGCCCATGGGCTTCTCAGACCGCTTCACGGGAAGGTGGTAATACCAGTCTGGAGGAGAGGGGCCGGAGGCCCGCTTGTTACCCAGAGTTGAAGTTGGTGTGCCCCACTGCCCACAACATAGCCATGCCAGGGAGAGCATCTCACCCTCCACAGGACACCAGCATGGGAGAAACCACCACAGGACATTTGCACTGAAGACACCTCCACCGGACACCAGCGTGGGAGAATCCACCATGGGACATTTGTATAGGAGAAACCACCACGGGACATCACTATGGGAGAAACTTCCACGGGACATCAGTACAGGAGATACCACCATGGGACATTTGCACAGGAGAAACCACCACAGGAATCAGCACAGGAGACACCGCCACGGGACATTTGCACAGGAGACACCATCACAGGAGACCAGTGGGGAGAAAATGCTCTCTTTCGAATGCCTGCGCTGAGGTTGTGTGGGTTAAGCCGCTGATCCCACCCAAAGGAAGATCTCCCTCTATGAGGCCCTGCTGTTCCTCTGCTACAGGCTGCACATCTGCTCCAAAGAGGTAGAAACAGGGTGTCCTCCAAGGTACCAGATCCCCTCCTGTGTGTCCCCTGCTCTCTCTCCTCTGTGGAACTGGCAGTAAACTGCATTTCTGGATATATTGGGGAATACACATTCCCGCAAAGTCCACACTCACTTAAAACACTGCAGGCCAGCGTCCGGGACATGTGGCCAGTGCTGGCCAAGATCTGTTGAACTCAGTATACTAAAGACGCTGAGATACAAAAACCATCACAGCAGCAGCAGCCTCAGAGAGCAAGGCCAGCAGCCTGCCAGGAGCAGGAAGAGGCAGGACCGGACCCCGTGGGGAGCCCCCCCCCACCTCCCACGTCCCACGCCCTGGGACGAGAGCCCAGGTGGGCCACCTCTCAGACGTGGGAACCCCAGCACATAAACCTCTCTGCTCCTTTCATCTGCATTGAGGCCACAGTGGGGCCCCACGAGCGAGAAGTCACAAGTGCAAGGGGACAAGCAGAAGCCAGGACCTCGGCCAGGCAGCCACGTGTTATGGAAGATCTCCTCGGACCGCGGGCACATGAGGTGGCTGAGCCTAGCTCCCGGGAAATCTTAAGTGGGTCCCACAGAGTTGGAGCGTGGTGAGCAAGGACCAAGGGGACAGGAGGTGCGGCACTGCACGGATGAACCAGAGGAGAAGGAAGGCAGCCCGCTGTCTGCCCTTACTCCCTTCCTCAGTCTGAACCCCACAAGCCACGGGGCCCCTAAGTGGGCGCAGGAGCTGAGGGCATCCAGGACGGCCCTGCCAGGCACAAGAGGTGTGGGCGGAACCCCAGAGACCTTCAGTGACCAGGGTCCACCTATGATTCCGCAGCGAGAAGACATTGGGGACACCCGGACTACGGGTGCTTCAGGTGACTCTGTAGCAGAAACGGATTAGTCCAAATGTAAGAAAAAATATCCCTGCTGATTGAAAACTTGGGAAACAAAGTGAAGGAAGAATGTAAAATACAACAGATGCCATTAATGTGACACACGCAACTCATACATTTACGAGCACGTATTGGAATGCGCGGTCACAGATTCATGACCTTCAGGGTCTAACACAGTGCCAGGCTCCCAACAGGTGTGATGAATAATAGTATGTGTCACCTAGGCTGGGCCATGGTGCCCAGATTTTTGGTCAAATGTTTTCTAGATGCTTCTGTGAAGATATTTTTCAGATGAGATTCACATTTACGTTAGTGGACTCTGATTAAAGCAGATTGCCCTCCATAATGTGGGTGGGCCACATCTAACCAGTGGAAGGCTTTAAGAGAAAAAGACTGAGGTCTTCCAGGGGGAGGGAGGAATTTTACAGCTCTTCCCTGCAGATTCTATGTGAGCTGGTTCCTCTTTCAAGATAGATGATAGATAGATAGATAGATAGATAGATAGATAGATAGATGATAGATAGACAGATGTCCTATTGGTTCTGTTGCTCTGGAGAACTCTAATACAGTAGGAGCACAAGAAAACCGTGTTGAAGAAGTTGATTCATGTAACACACAAGGAGCTCACGAATGATTGTCTTCTAAAGGTTCTTCTAAAGGTTCTTCTAAAGAGCTTACACATCCGATTTCCACCTGTAACTAAAGCTGGGTTCGCTGCATCAAAACGAATGATGTTTAAACATAAAAATTAATGTCTAAAGGACAGTAATGAGCTGAATCAACATTATGCTTTTGAGAATGGAAGAAAGCACTGGGAAAGGTCTAAAGAATGGAGCAGAAGCTCACAGATCATTGGAGCTTTAGGAGGAAGCACAAAGCAGCTTCCTACACTCATCATATTCTGCTCAAAAATTTTCTCTTTTAGAAGGAAGGCACGCACTCTTTGCTTTATTTTTCCTCTCTGTGTTTTGATTACTAATTAATCCACAGGGAACAGTGTACCTTCCGGTTCTCATTACTGGAAGCTTCGGGCAGGCACTGAATCTACTCCAGTAGGGCATTTATAACTGAGCAAAGGAGCACACACACCACACATACACACACACACAGCGAAAACAATGAGAGCTGTCTTGTAACTTCCATCACTTAGAAATTATTAGTACTTTTATAACAATTACTATCATTACTAAGGTGATCAATTACTATCATTTGGATTTCTTTGTTTCTTTTTTTCTTTTTTAACCACCAGGTTGGGTATCATGTAGGTCTTTTATTTTTTAAGCAGCTCTTTTTATTCATTTTTATTTTTTAGAGACAGCACAAGCAGAGGAGAGGAGCAGAGAGAGAGAGAGAGAGAGAGCGAATCTTAAGCAGGCTCCAAGCTCAGCACAGAGCCCAACACACGGCTCGGTTCCACGATCCTGGGGATCCTGAGCTCAACTGACTGAGCCACCCAGGCGCCCCTCCCTGACTCCCCACCTTCAGGACAGGAGCACCTCACGTTATCAATAAGGCGAAGGCAGACAAGGGCTCTGACACCCAAGACCAGGGGCTGTCAGACTTCTAGTCACAGGGCAGGATTACGTGCCCACTTAGCCCCGCAGACGGCCATATTCCTGCCTTTGGGCTGCGGTCGCCTTGCAGAGCAGGGGTTAAAACCTGGGCAGAGGAGCCCCCATGGGAGGTGCCATCCTGGGCTAGTGTGAGGTCTATCAATAAGGGTTAATGATACCTCGTCAAGTCATTTTGAGGTTAAGGGTCAGTGTATAAAAGTGCTTAGGATGGTACCTGCCATTTGTCAGTGTCCATTGGTGTTGTGTATACAGGGGAAGCCACTAACTAAGGCTTGGAGAAGTCACATATAGGCTGAGAGCCAATAGAGGCAAAGAGGAACCTGTCAGCCCTCCCCCCGAAACACACACCCATGTGCCCAGCACAGCCACGGTGTCACCAAAAGCAGTCAGTCAGATCTCACAAGCTCATTTAGAAATGCCACGGCCAGGCTTCCTAACACCTCTGAGCAGATGTGAGTGAGACTGCCAGCTCCCGCCCTGTGGCTCCCAGTGGAGCATCAAATCCTCTTGTCCAGCCTTTCATCCCGCCCTCACAAAAGGGGGAGAACCCTCACAAAAGGGGGAGAAATCGGGGCCCTACGTGGCTCAGTCAGTTAAGGGCCAACTTCGGCCCAGGTCATGATCTTGAGGTGCTTGGGTTCGAGCCCCGAGTCGGGCTCTGTGCTGACAGCTCGGAGCCTGGAGCCTCCTTCGGATCCTGTGTCTCCCTCTCTCTCTCTGCCCCTCCCCTGCTCATGCTCTCTCTCTCTCTCTCTCTCTCTCTCTCTCAAAAATAAACAAACATTAAACAAAATTTTTAAAAAGGAGGGGATCAAAACAAGAGTCCCAGACAGACCACAGCATGCACCTCTTTTTCCTTCCGTTCCACCCAGCTTCAAACCCTGCTGAATGAGAAGCCCCACTGCCCCACCAGCCTCCACCCAATTCTTGTTTTCTGCATCCAGCACGTAAATGTGGAGACAATTAAAGTACTAGCGGGAGATGGGTGGTGAGATAGGAAGTCCCTGGAGGAAGCAGCTTACCAACGGTCAAACCATTTACAGGAAAACTGCAGAGCTCTTACCCCCCAGCAGCTGAGACAACACTGGGAAACCTGGTTTTCTTTTGTCAAAAATAAAGAAAAAGAAGACTAGCTGTGTTTTTGCTTCCCCCCCCCCTTTTCTTTTAATGTCTCCCTTTAAGCTGCTTTGACCCTGGGGCACAGAAGCAGCTCTCTTTGAGGGTATCCCGTTAGTTTCACCCCAGCCCCACGTGCCCACACACTCAGGACGCTGGGCTGGGGGCCAGCCCTCCCTGGGCAAAGCGAACACGAATGCGGGCTCTGTTAGCTGGACACTCACCGCAGGGAGCATAGCGGCTGGTGGCGCCCTGCAGCTCCTTGTTTGTGTTCCTCATGCGGGCCTACAGGCGACAGGCTGGACCAGGTGACCACGGGTGAGGAGGGAACCGCCCCTGGTGCTGACTGTAGAGGCCACTTCCGAGGGCCTGCCCTCTCCGTCCACCTCCACCTAACAGGTATGCAGGCTCTAGTCATTAAGGAAGGGCATACACGACCCCATGCAGCAGGGGCATGTGCATGCTGGTATACAGCAGGAGCACGTCCATGCCTTGTATACATCAGGGGCATATGCATGCTGGTATACAGCAGGAGCACCTCATCAGGGGCAAGTGCATACGGGTACACAGCAGGGGCACGTTCACGCAGGCACACAACAGGGGACAGCAGGTGACAGCCGGTACGCATCAGGAGGCCATCCACACAGGTATACAGCAGGGGCATACACACTCTCGTATACACAGGAGCATATCCATGCCAGGTATACAGCAGAGG